AGCATCGTAAGAGGTAAGGGTCCTCAGTCTTTCATTTGGCAGAGTATGTCAAGTCTTCTGAGTTGCAAGATTTCATGCAAACTAGCACTCCAAGACCAAAAAGAGTGGTGGTGGTGGTGGTGGTGGTGGTGGGGAGAGGGGAGAGGTAGGATGATGGGTTGGTGGATGGATGGACTGAAGGAAATAATATAAATAAATATACGATCTATTTTATACCTTATCTGATTTCCTTGCTGTGTGCCGCTCTAAATTCACATGTAGAAACTCTAATGCCCAATGTGATGGTATTAGGAGGTGGGACTTTTTGGAGGTGATTGGATCATGAGAGCAGAGTCTTCATGAATGAAATTAATGCCCTTACAAAAGAGGCCTCGCAGAGGCTCCCTTTACTATGTGAGGATATGAGAAGTCTACAACGCAGAAGACGGCGCTCACCTGACCTTGGACTTCCAGCCTCCAGAACTGTGAGACCCGGAGTCCTGTTGTTTATAAGCCACCCTGCTCCTTTCCCTTTCCCTTCTTTCCCTTTCCCTTTCCTTCCTTTCCTTTCCTTTTCCTTCCCTTTCCCTTTCCTTCCTTTCCTTTCCTTTTCCTTCCCTTTCCCTTTCCTTCCTTTGTGTAGGTGGGACTTAAAACTCAAGACCCTGAGATCACTACCTGAGCTGAGATCAAGAGTTGGAAGTTTAACTGACTAAGCCACCCAGATGTCCCTAGTTGTACTTTTTTCTACTTTCCAGAGAAAATTTCCTATTTTAATAGTCCTTATTAGGATTTTTCATTGGTTGGTCCCTTAGACCATCAACACTAAAGGTAGTAGAATAAACTTGACTGAGAGTGTAAGGACAGGGTTATTTCACTTAACTTTATGTCCTTGGCACTAAGAAAAGGGCAGCCTTTAAGCAAACATATGTAAGCTATCACAGAAGAGCCACATTCACAAAAAGCAGACTCGGGAGCACATCAGAAGATTAAAACAACAGAGGCAGAAGTCTGTCATTGAGGATTGGGTCCAGGTACACTCATAAACCTTCCCCAGAGGCTCACCCTCACCATTATCTTAGTGTTTTAAAAGGCCCATTTAGATGACTGGCTGCAAACACACTGGGATGCTAAGTGAGATCTCCCTCTCTGATCTCAGAAACCATCTGCCTTGGCTCCAGAGCAATTATTTATAGCAGATAGGACTGATGTGGTGTCAAGACCAAGTCCCAGAGGCTTAATTCCTCCAAAGATGGCAAAAGTGTCCATTGGATACACAACAAAGAGCACCCAGAAACCCAAATTGGGCGGGTTGCAGCAGATGCTTAAGAAGGGTCACTAGCACTCAGAAGGTCAGAGCTGAAGTAAGCGCGCGTCACACAATCAAATGTGCAAAGACAAGTGCAAAGGTACTTTTGACAGGGGTCAACACTGTCCACAATCTCTTTTCAGATGCTCTCAACTTCATTTGCTGACTTCCTGCTGACTGGGTGCAGTCCCATGACCTCACTGGATAATGTAACCTGGAGTGTCAATGAGGCTGCATATTCCATGTTAAAATTTGGAAGGAAAAAAAGATCTTCACTGTGGTAAACAATCTTTTATTTGTTAAAGCACCTTCCACCCGCCCGTGCTGTTCAGCTTCACCAAAAAACGACATGGCTATATATAACTCATGAGTCTAACTTACAGCTTTTGACGAGGTACCTGGGGTTAAGAAATAAAAGCTGTGTCCTATTTCTCATTTTTAAGTGGTACTTATCCTTCCAAGGACAATGGTATTTACAGCCTCAAAAGGCAGAACTATGTATTATGAACTTCAGAATGCCGTTAAAGAATTTTTTTATTTTTCTTTTGGCGGGGAGTGGGGTGGGTGGGTGGGCTGCCTCGTGGTGGCCAGAGAAGCAGAAGCAGAACATAGTATTTAGTGAAGAGCCTCAGCCAGGAAGCAGCAGGTGACGTGGACAGCGGAAGCCCCAAGCTGGTAGCCAGTAGCACGAGGACGTGCAACAGTGAAGCCCCAAAAGTAGCACGGCCACGTCTTATTCAGGTTTTCTAACCCACCCACATAAAGCAAAATCAGATTAATAACAAAGCAAAAAAAAAAAAAAAATCAGCTAACAAACTCATTCAGCTGAGCGAAACATGCTATGGGATTTCAATTGGGAAAAAATTCCATATTTCCTATGGGGAATCTGGTTCTGCCTTATTTTAAGCAATATAGATTTAGATTTACAAAAAATAAGAGGGTTACCTCTTCATGAAAGAATTCACTACAGAATTTCCTTAAAATGTAATTTCCCTGGTTCATTTCAAATACCAATTTATATAAATTCACTTTATTCAATATTCAGGAATATCTCTTCGGAAAAATGAGGAAACAGACTCTGGAAGGTAGGAACAGCCAATGTTCAGGGTCAGCCAATAGTTTCTGCATACTACCCCAAAGGCCTTGGGATAATGATTTATATATAATATGCTTTAAAAATATGTAATATGTATATATATTCACTTCCTTACGACCCCAGAACTTTTCTGCCTTTCTCATTATCTGGCTTAGAAAGCTATCTGTTCAGCTTCTGTCGCTGAGGAAAGGGGCAAATTTTTCTTTAGATGTTTCCCTTCAAGTGGTCTGGTCTAGGCGATATTTTTAAATCGTACTTACATCTCACCCCATGAAAGGGTGGGAGCTAAAACTGGCTGCTGAGCTAGTTAACTCCAGGTGTTCCCAGTTCCATCCAAGCTGATGAAAAAATACCCTCGTGTATGCATGAAGCCACACATAGCAGGCTCTGCCTGCACAGCCAAGGCAGAATAATTCAGGAAATAAATTATCCCCAACTCAGGAGAAAAGTTATTGCAATACTTAAATCAGGTGGATGAAGATAAAATCTTTTAATAAACAAACCCCGGCGTCTAAGTACAGTCCTGTTTAGGTTGTGCACTAAGAGGGTGTGTGGAGCTGCCTTCGCTAGATCACGTGGTATAGCGGGAGGGCAAAGGGCCGAGACCAGGGAGCAGGCAAAAGACCCGGGGCAGGTGGGGAGCACCTGGGTGGCTCAGATGGTTGGGCGTCTGCCTTCGGCTCGGGTCATGATCCCGGGGTCCTGGGATCGAGCCCCACATCGGGCTCCCTGCTCCTTGGGAGCCTGCCTCTCCCTCTGCCTCTGACTCTCATGAATAAATAAACATTTAAAAAAAAAAAAAAAAAGACACGGGAGGGGACCCGGGTTTCCGCCGCACCGTGCGGTTCTTGAGTTGCCTAGGGCTTCAGGGGCCTAATAGTTACTACAGAAAAATATAACGGGATCTCCCCACCTCCCGACAGTACTAACATGGAAATATTATATTCCTGCCAAAAATGAAAACGCATTTTACCGATATTACACCTGTTTTACCTGTAAATCTGGCATATACAATCTATTCCTTACTAAATAAAATGGGCAAAAGCAATACCAAAATATTCATTTAAAAACATATTTATTAAGAAGAAAACTTGTCTCTAGGGAGAGGCCCAGGATGGGTTTGGAGGGCAGGGCTAGGGGGAGAGGGTTGGAGGAAGATTTGCTTTCTACTTTATATCCTTTTGTGTCAATTTAACTGAGTATAATATGTATGTATTACTTATTCAAATAGATATGCATTGATTCATCACATTTTTATAAATCAAAACACAGAAAGTTTTACAAAAAAATGGTAACGAGTAGTGACATCAAAATATACTAAATAGGGCACCTGGGTGGCTCAGCAGGTTAAGTGACTCTTGATTTCGGCTCAGGTCATGATCTCAGTTGTGAGAACGAGCTCTGCGTGGACATGGAGGCTGCTTAAGATTCTCTCTCCCTCTGCCCCTCCCCTTCTCTAAAATACATACACACACACATACACACACACACTAAATAATCAAAGATCCATCATCCAAGCAAAAACTAACATTCTAATTTTTTAAAAATTATAAGTAGACATGAACACGGTTAGAATAAAGCAAAACCTAAATTGTGCTAGAATAATTGATACATATTGTTGTCTAGCATTCCATTAAATAATGATGATGATCATAATAATAACAGTTCATACTTATCTTACACTTAGTAGGTACCAGACACTGGCCTAAATCCTGTTCTTTTTTTAAAAATGTTTATTTTGTAATTTAGCAGATTTGGGAAAGAGCGAGCATGCATGTGAGCTGGGGGGATGGAGAGGGGGAGAGGGAGAGAATCTTTTTTTTTTAAGATTTTATTTATTTATTTGACAGAGAGAGTGAGCACAAGCAGAGGGAACAGCAGAGGGAGAGGGAGAAGCAGGCTCCCTGCTGAGCAGAGAGCCCACTCCATCCCAGGACAGAGATCATGATCTGAGCTGAAGGCAGATGCTTAATCGTCTGAGCCACCCAGGCGCCCCAAGACAGAGAATCTTAAGCAGACTCTGTGCTGAGTGCAGAGCCCAACTTGGGGCTCAAACTCACAACCCTGAGATCATGACCTCAGCCAAAATCAAGAGTCAGATGCTTAACCAACTGAGCCACCACGCTCCCCTAGATCCTGTTATAGTATTTCTTAAATGCTGCTACAGTGTTGTTGGTCTAATAAGCATTTATAGGGGCGCCTGGGTGGCTCAGTCATTAAGCATCTGCCTTCGGCTCAGGTCATGACCCCAGGGTCCTGGGATCGAGTCCCACATCGGGCTCCCTGCTCCGCGGGAGGCCTGCTTCTCCCTCTCCCACTCCCCTGCTTATGTTCCCCCTTTCTGTGTGTGTCTCTCTCTGTCAAATAAATAAATAAATAAAATCTTTAAAAAAATAATAAGCATTTATAAAAAATACTCAAGGTAGAGAAAATCCTGGTGAAAATGAAACAATGAGAAAAACTTGAAAGCTGGCCAGAATATACATGCATATCTGTAATTATGTTTTCTTCCATACCACAAAGAAGCCAATTCTTCCACAGAAGTGATAAAACGCCATAATGAGGCTCAACAACGAACTCTGTGACGGCAGATATACTTCACCTCTAGGAACTTACCAAAGGTGTGTCTTTTCCTCCCACAATGCTGAGACCAAGACCTGAACGTCCCTTGGATATTTCTATAATCATTTCCTGGCCAGGAACAATGGGACACGTGGCTGGGTCCACTGACAGAGGGGCCTGGAAACCACCTGGAGAAGGATGAAACACAGAATGATGGGCAAGGAGGGGAGGCAGCCCAGCAGCCCGGCACGCACACTGTTAGTTGGGGAGCACCGGTTTGCACGGGTTTGTCATTTCACTCTTTTCCTGCCAAGCACTGTTCAGCAAAGAGCTGGGTCCTTAATGCCCTTTCAGGAAGGGATGAAACCCGACGCTTTTGAGATGAAAACAATAACTACCCCCCTTACTCAATCATCTATTTTAAGTATACCTGAAATTTTTTTAAGCTTAAAACATACCCTGAAAACTCATTCGGAAAGATGTAAGATGATGAAATGATTAAGTACATATAGGCGTATGTTATAATGAAAATGAAGACTGGTATGACAGAAGATTCTGGGTTATAGTTAGAAGATACGAAGAAGAACTAGTGCTTAAATACTTTCAGTTAGAGCATATCATGAATTAAGAGATATAAAGGATTTCATCAATAAAGTATGTTAAGATAAGAATTACCTAACAATGATCCCGAAACATATACATAGTTAAAAAAAACAAAACAAAAACCTGTCATAAACACAACATTCAAGAACTAATTGCTGGGTCCACAGCTGAAAAACTTGTTAAAGGAGTTACTGCTACTTTATAAAGATTTACTTTTTAAATTTTTAAAAAAGATTTAATTTTTTATGTTCAAGTTTTTAACATTAAATTTTTTTCATGTAATCTCTGCCCTCAAGGTGGGTCTGGAACTCACAACCTGGAGACCAAGAGTCTCATGCTCTACTGACTGAGCCAGCCAGTTGCCCCATGGTTTACTTTTTAAAATCATTGTTTTATTTTATTTATTTATTTTTCTTAAGTAGGTTCCATGTCCAGCATGGAGCCCAATGTGGGGCTTGAACTCACGACCCTGAGATCATGATCTGAGCTGAAATCAAGAGTCGGTTACTCAACCAACTAAGCTACCCAGGTTTCCCCAAATCACTGTTTTAGATTGGGTTTCTTTAAAAAATGAGGGAAAAAAATATTTATTGGCTAGGAAAAGAAGTTTAATATAACCCTCTTTTCCAGCATAACTTCTACATATGTGTATTTTCCAGATGACTGAACCCAACTAATTGAAAAATCAAAATATTCAAAATGTTAGCTTCAAGAGCTTCTTGTACAAATAATAGCCTCCAGAGAATGTCATCTTTTTTGACAACTAAGGTCGATCATCATGAGTACTGTCTCTTACCCTGGGATAGAATTTAGTTAAGGGCTGAGAATAAAGGGCCCCACCTGTTGGCCAGCTGCAGCTAATGCACAGGGGCCAAATTGGGATCCTCAAAGCTCATTAAACATCTGTCCCAGCAAGGGCCCCCAGACTATGGACTACAGGCTAAGAATGATTTTCACATTTTCAAAAGGTTGAAAAAAAAATGAAAAGAAAAATAACATTTCAAGACATGTGAAAATTACATGAAATTCAAATTTCAATGTCCATAAATGAAGTTGTATTGGAACACAGCCCTGCTAATCCATTTACTTCCAGTCTACGGCTGTTAGCACCCCGCGACAGCGGAGCTGAGTACTTGCAACAGAGACCATATGGTCCACAAGCCTTAAATATTTACTATCTGGCTCTTTACAGAAAAAGTTTGCCAATCCCTGATATTCAACAAAAGGAGAGAGGCTCTAGGTAAGCCTGTGGAGGGTTGTGCTCTGACTCAGCAAGCATAATAATAAAGCAGGTTTTGGAGTGGTGGGGACGTGGATTTAAGCTCCCCAGAAGGGAATTAATAGGTGGATAAAAATGGAGGCTCATTCCTCATCCGAAAAATGCATGTAGCAAGCTGCTTTCTAATAGGAAGTAAATGAACAATGTGTGTGTGGTGCCCAGTCCAGCAACTGGCATAACACAGAATGCATACAGTTGCTCTTTCTGACCGCATGGCATTAAGCTAATGGCCTCCTAGTTAAGAGTGAGAAATTTAGTGACACAACCTCGGTAACAATAAAAAATGCCCTATTAGAAGGAGAGTATTAAATTATAAACCTTAATCTGACTCTAGATCTTTTGGCAGCAAATGTATTTCACACTCCATTTTCCATTCATTTACAATAGAAACAATGTGCAATAGTGCCTAATTTCATAAATGCTTTACAAAGTTTATCCTCCTTTTGTAAATGACTAGTTTAGCCTCTTGAGTGAGAAGAGAGATGCCGGGGATGGCATTTCTCTTCTTTCACTTCTGCCTCACCCTGGCCAGTCCTGAGTCAGGGTTGGTATGTATTTCTCCCATACGGTCCAGCCCAAAGCCTGATATACCAAGCCCCCGATAAATGTTTGGTAAGTAGATGACCGAATGAATAGAATTTCCATAGATTAAATTATGGGTGATTAATTTCTGTTATCAAGATATAAATATGTGATGCATCTTATCAAAACTCAATTGGTCGACATTGTGGTTACTTTCTCAGTAAAAGGCCAGGTGGTCAGTATTTTGAGCTTTACAGACCATACATTCTCTGTTGAACTACTCAATTCTATCCTCATTGTGTGAAAGCAACCTTAAGACTACAGGTAAACAAAGGAGTATTCCAATAAAATTTTATTTATGGTCAGGGAAGTCTGGGTTTCAGATAATTTTCATGAAATACTCCTTTGACTTTTTCCAACCTCTTAAAAATATGAAAACCATTTTTAGCTTGCAGACCATACAAAAACAGATGGTGGGCCAAATCTGACCCATGGGTCATAGTTTGCTGACCACAGTCATCAAGTATTTTAGCAAAAACCCGGTACTTCAGAATAATACCTGCTTGCTAAAGTTTTTATTGAGTTAATATTTATGAAAAAATAAGCACAAGACAAATACATAAAGGTGTTAGGCCTGCTAAATTCATGCAGGGGTGTGCTTCGCCACTGGTGAGCCCAGTGTTTTAAATAGCCACTTTTTTTATGGACTTATATCACATAAAAGCAAAGTGGAAATACTCATTATTCATTTTGAAATTCTATTTTCAACTGCCAGTCAGCATAATTCATGCCAGGAATTCAAAGAGAGAAAGCGAATACTCATGTCTTTAAGCACTGAAAATTAACAGTCTTCAAATCACTTACATCAACATATGCAAGGCTAACAATTTGACTGAATATGATTTTTAGGAGATAATACTCATACACTAAACACAATCTTTTGGAGCGATTACAGAATAATTTGTAAGCTTCATATGCAAACAGTATTTACTGAGGGCCTTTTTTTTTGTTCTAGCACTTTCATACTCAATAAGCACTGGGCATTCCCCGTAGCAGGCGAGGAAAATGGTGACCTGCCCATGTCCTGGAGCTAAGGAAGTGGAGGAGGGATGCAGAGCCAGGCTTCCTGACTCCTGGTCCAGTGCTCTTTCCAGGTTATCACCATACCCTCCTTTTCTCATGTTGGAGGAGTCAATTCAGTTCGGCTCACAGAATCATACCATAGCTTGTGAAATCCACATCCGTAGAATGGTACGATGGAGCTGGTGCTAAAGGTATCTCTTGTGAACTGAAGGAGACTTTTGTTGAATATTTTTGCTGTTTCATCTGGCTGACAGCCTACAAAAGAAAGGAAAATTAGAGGAATGTCGAAGAGGAGAATGAAAACCAAAGAATAAGACTTTAAAACTGGCGTGTTGTTACCAAAACAATGGTAGCACTCCAATAATGTTGTCTGAGAATTTAGAGTGGGAGAGGTGGCAGGAGGAAGTTAGGATGATATCTGTCCCATCCCCCATGCTTCCCTATTTAACTTGACATCTAAGATGCTTCAGTGAAGGATGGATGAAGGAAGGGAAGAAGGATAACAGCTGATGATACTCTATCATTGTGGTCTGTATACGATGCTGGGGCTGGGAAGCAGAACAAAAATTTTTACAATTTCCACTGATTTTGATGAAATCGATGTGAAGTCCACATACCCATGTTGTGCCCACTGAAAAGCAATCTATGCTGAAAATGTTCTGAGCATACAATAATGTCCTTCTCTCCTGGATACATCCACAATAGTTAAATGCATTAGGCAGGTTAATTGAGCAACATGAGGGCCAGGAAGAGGAAATTAGCATCCACTCAAAGTTTACTAAGCGCCAGGTACACCGAACATTTTAATTCACCTCCAAGAACTATACCTTATTCACCCTTGATCCCCAGTACCTGGAACATAGTAGACCCTCAATAAATGATGAATGAATGAATGAATCGATGAATGGATATAGAAGAGCAAAATTGAAGACATGGAAACTCAGAGTTGAAAACGAATTTGTAATTCAATGAAGGTACAGAGACCTTTGCTGTGTGAGCTTTGGAAAGTTAACTCGTAATTCTGGATTTTTGTGGATAATACCTCCAATGAATATTAGTATTAGAAAACTGAGAAAAACCAAAAGGACTCCATGCTTGCTTAACAGGCAGTTAAGAAACATAGGTAGTGACCTGACCTGCCTTCTGGATCTGTAGTTAGCCAGGGAACCCATCCCCAGCTGGAAGATTCTGGTGGAGGCAGTGAAGCACCAGGCTGTCCCTGGAGTCTAGAAATAGGATCAAGGTAACTGCTCCAGAACAATGACACCTCAAGATTCTTTCAGTGGAAGGCTATGCCTCGATACAAGGCACCGTGCAGTATATAAAAACTAGAACACCAGCCATTGTGTATCTGTATTGTGCTTTCCAGTTTTTAAAAACACTTTTACATCCATGAATTCTTTTAATCCTGAGAACAACCTGGAGGGTTAGACAATATTACTTCCTATTCCAGCTAAAGAAACCATTGTCAAGTGGCTTGTCTGAAATCACACAGCCATTTAGAGGAAGAGGTCAGATTAAAAGTCAGTAGTAGCTAAAGAACGATACAAATTATGTTTTTATTTTTTTTTTTTTAAAGATTTTATTTTTAAGCAATCTCTATCCCCATTGGGGGCTTTAGCTCATAACCCCGAGATCAAGAGTTGTGTGTTCTACTGACTGAGCCAGCCAGGTGCCCCAGAACGATACAGATTTAAAATGTTTCTCAAACAGCTGCTAGGCACTGATTCTATGGATGTTCATTTTCTTTTCTGTAGTTTTTCTCACCAACACTTAATAATGACCATATACCTACTTAAGAAGACTTATTCAAAGACGTATTTTCAGTGATTTAAAAAAGAGGGAAGGGGAAAAATGACAAATATGGGTTTACTACCAGAAAACTGAACAATGGAACCACCTAGATATCAATTACTCTGAGGACATTTTCTAGTGTCCTTGAAGCTAGATACATTTGCAGGCTAAGTTTTGGTCAGTAGGATGAAAACAGATGCGAACTGTACAATTTTCAGGTCATTTTCTGCAGGATAAGGATCCTGCCTTCCTCTTCTCCCAAACTGGAATGCAGATGGGATGACAACATCCGAACAGCCATCTCAGACCCAAAACTGGACGCATTTTTTTTTGAGGATGGTAATCAGATAGGAGGTGCCTGAGTGTGTGACACTGTGGAGACACCGTAACATCCTCACACTGATTATACCCATACTTGATACAGAAGAGAAACTTCTTATAGAAATTGAGCCTAATCTTAATTCATACAGTACTTATGTTCAACTTTTGTTTTCTATCACCTTTAAAAAGAACATCAATAACAAAGATGTGAAAGTGTTCTTAGCGATTTAAAAAAAAGATGTATTTATTTTTTTAACCACTTTATTTTTTTAAAATTTTTAAAAAAGATTTTATTTATTTGTCAGCACAAGCAGAGGGAACAGTAAGCAGAGGGAACAGCAGGCAGAGGGAGCAGACTCTCCGCTGAGCAAAGGGCCCGACACAGGACTTGATCCCAGGACCATGAGATCATGACCTGAGCCGAAATCAAGAGTCGTACTCTTAACCGACTGAACCACCCAGGCATCCCTATTTATTTGAGAGAGTGAGAGACAGAGCGTGCATGAGTGGGGGGCGAGGGGCAGAAGGAGAGAATCTTCAAGCAGACTCCTTGCTGAGCCTAGAGCCCTATCCATGAGATCATGACCGAAGCCAGAACCAAGAGACACCTAATTGACTGAGCCACCCAGGTGCCCCAGAATCAGTGATTTTTAAAACAGTAATGTTTGTGCTAATTGTTATATCTCAGCTCCGGGTTGCATCCCATTGCATTGTGCATAATACATTTCCAACAGATAGTGATAGCATTGAACTCAGTTAAAAAATAAGGAAACAGTCCATAAAACCAAGTGAAACGTCCAACATAAATTTTTAGAGGCTGACCTCTTGTTGGTAGATGTGATGATAGATGGAATGTGTGCTCCTGTGACTTAACCATTGGCACAAACCCAAACTACTAAGAATGAAAGATAAGAAACGTTGGATTTTCTGTTTAATGTCTTCTATTCAAACATGAAGAGTTGGAATGGACTTTGTAGGTTATCCAACCTAACTAAACCAGTGGTTTTCAAACCCTGTCTTCATAACAGAAATTGCCAGGGAGTTTTTTTAAAGATGCTGGGATTTCTCCCCCCAACCCCATCCTAGACCAAATAAATTGGCACCTAGGTGGAGCCCAGGCAAGTTCTATTTAAGAATTACTGCTTAAAGTTAAACCATGGAGGGCGCCTGGGTGGCTCAGTTGGTTAAGCGACTGCCTTCGGCTCAGGTCATGATCCTGGAGTCCCGGGATCGAGTCCCACATCAGGCTTCCTGCTCTGCAGGGAGTCTGCTTCTCCCTCTGACCCTCTTCCCTCTCATGCTTTCTATCTCTCATTCTCTCTCTCTCTCAAATAAATAAATAAAATCTTTAAAAAAAGAAAAGTTAAACCATGGATTCTTCACCCAGGGTAAATGGGCTTCTAAGAGATCCACAAAGGACATTTTGGGAATTATAAAAGTCATGTGTTGTACCAAAATTATGTTTATCAGTGTTTTTGGGGGAGAGTCTACAGTTCATTTATGATGGGAAAACAAAAATCACCACTCAAAGAAGATATGAACTGCTGAGTTTGCTAGTACTGATTAGCCTCAGTCACTTCACCTCCTTACATCTAAACTTCCTCATCTGTAAACTGGGAGAGATCAAAGAGAAAAGGACATAAATAAACCTATCACTATGCCAGGAACAGTTTAAGATTTCAACTGATAATAGCTATTAATGTCTTCACATCTTTTGATAATAAATGACCAGCCAGCTCCTGATTAAAAACCATGTGGGTGGTTTGGAACAGCTCAAGGACTGGGGAAGTTCTTCATAATGAGCTGACACAGCCTCACAGAGGTGCTGCCCAATGACGTCGGCTGGTTCTCTTCTGCAGCCACGGAAAAGGGTCATAATCACTTTCCCGAAAGGACAATACTTGAGATATTTAAGCGCTCATTTCTCGGCATGGAAAAGAAAGGGTAGGTGGTGTTTAGGATTTGTCCTAGCTCTAAAGTTCTACGGTTATAACATTTTGGGGATGTCTGGTATGTGACTTGAGGTAAGTGGCAGCATATGAAGCATTAGCATATTAATAGTATTCACAAATTCATTAAAGTCTGGTCTTAAAAAAAATTTGCTTACACATTTCCATTTGATCCAAATCTGGTTATTTTTAAGGCTCTTTCTATACCTAATCATTTTTTAAAAAGTTTTAGATTTGAAAGATTTCATTTATTTATTTATTTGAGAATGACAGAGATAGCGACAGAGATGGTGAGAGAGAGTACGGGCAGGGAGGAGAGGGAGAAGCAGGCTCCCCGCTGAGCAGGGAGCCCGATGCGGGGCTCGATCCCAGGACCTGAGGCGAAGGCAGACGCTTAACTGACTGAGCCACCTAGGCACCCATGAAGTTTTTTTTTTTTTTTTAAAGATTTTATTTTAACTAATCTCTACACCCAACATGGGGCTCAAACTCAAAACCCTTAGATGAAGAGTTGCATCTTCTACCAACTGAGCCATCCAGGCACCCCTACACCTACTCATTTTTTAAAAAATTTATTTTAGAGAGAGAGCATGTGAGCGAGCAGGGGGTGGGGGAGAGTCTCAAGCAGACTCCCTGCTGAACGTGGAGCCCAACGGAGGGCTCGATTCCACGAACGTGAGATCATGACCTGAGCCAAAATCAAGAGCTGGATGCTCAACTGACTGAGCCACCCAGGCACCCATATACCTAGTCATTTTTATTTCGGTTTTTAGCATATAAGTTTGGAGACTTTTCAAAGGTATTTTCTTTGGCAGTGTTTGAAATATCATGTAAGCTCTAGTTCCTTGAACATAAAAATAGCTAATACAGTAATAATGTAAATTTTAGTAGCATGAAGGTATAAACTAGCACACAGAAATGAGAATCAAGATTTTAAAAAGAAAAAACTCAACAGCAACAGAAGTACAAAAATTTGACAGAAATTTATAGTTTAAGAGAAGTGAACTCAAAATGTAAGGAACACCAAAGTTACTGTGTTTATATTTTTACAGAACTACAAATTCTCCCACTTAAGATTTTTTATTAATGATATTAAGACATGGCACTCTTGGAATTTAAGTGCAGGTGTGTTTGTATGGATGGCTCACTTTTAAACACCTGCTCAGGGTACTGGCTCAGGAAGATGCACAG